TTTAAAAAAAGAAAAAAAAAAAGATTAGACATAAAATGACAAGAATGGGCGACCGTTAACGAAAGTGGTTTGTATGAAGTGGTGGTTGTAAAGAAATCGGTGACAGCTCTGAGCGATAATATTAACAGCAAGTATCAACAGTAACTTCTTATTAGCAGTGCACTTTTAACGGAATGTTTCTCAGTGACACCCAACCAGAAGTAATAACGACGGTGATCGCAGTTTATGCATGACTGCCAATCTTACGTACGCTGTTTAAGGAATGTTTGGCAACGAACAACAATTAGATAAGAAACAACAGATATGTACAGACAGACATACTGACATACACAAGCAATATCGTTTGATGACAGTTGTCTTCTGAAGCAAGGTCACTTTCAAAATTTTGAAGCCCGAGCAATTCGTATCCAAATCTGTTGTTTCTTATCAATTGTTGCAGAAGAATTTAAAAGTTTAAGGAGAGGATGAGAAGAGGTGGAATGAGAGAGGAAAGACAGTGAAAGTATTTTACATGAAACGATAATTAACAGAATTCATATTGCTTTCTCCATTGGGAGAGGAAAAGGGAAAAGGTACGGACTTTACCCTTTTGAACTTTTAAATTGAAGTGAAATAAGGGCGGTTCATGTTTTAAGGGTTGGTGTGACACCGAAAGAGTAATGTTAGTTAGTTATAAGCAGAGTCTGATCTATTATCATCAGCAGTAGGAACAGAAATAATCAGCAATAATTTGCATAATGTATGGTTAAATAGGCTGATACAGGTGAGAGAAACAACGGAAAAAGCATATAAAATGTGGACTGCAATAGGAATAGTGTAACCTTCCTGGAATAAAAATAGAAGATCAGATGAAGGCAGAGATAAGTTTGAAGGAAGAAAGGACAGGTTTTAGAGGAAACAATATTGAGAAATGCTGAGGGACGCAAAGTGACGCCAATTTCAAGGGATGTCCCATCTATTCTATTAGTTCTTGTCCTATTTCAATACAAAACAGCTGTTATTATGGATGGATTTGTTCATGCAACTGTTGCTCCATGATGTATTGGGGAAAAAAGTTAACTGAATTTCATTTCGAATTAAAAACTGAAGTTTTAATTTTTATGATTTCTTCATTACGGATTAAAAATGTAGTCGTTTTTAATTTAAAAAAAAAAAGCAAAATGATGGCTGCTTTGACATTATAAATCATTTTGGGATAGTAGGTAACTCGGTAACAATCAAAGATAAAACAGGTCACCTCAATTTCTTTCTTCCCAAAGCAGCTCAGTTGATGGCATATTTCATTACCATCGATTTCCCCATCTGTTACAATTCCATCAAAAAATCAACAGAAGTTCAGATCATAATCGTAATTATTATTAGCCATATAATTCTTGTTTATAATCATCTTAAGTATTAATTGTATGGCATATTTATTGAATGCTTTGTTCTCGAGTTTTAAAACGTTTTAACTCGAAAAAAAAAAGTTATTTGACAAAAAGAATTAATGCGAAGAATAACAGAAAAGAACGACGCAAGAAACGAAGCGATTATAGCGTCTATTCAACTTATTAGATGCTTCGAGTAAAAGTTTAGAAATTGTTTCAATCTTTAGGCATTAAGTTTCTGATATTCATCTGGTCGTCGGCACTTACATTCCATCATCTTACTATCATCATTGTCATCATCAACATTATTATTATAATTTTGCTGTACCGCCATGTTGCATCACTCACTTTCAAACAGAAATATTCTAAATTCTTTCTGCTTTCTATTGCAATCACTTTAAGTACTGAAAAGAACTTTGCAATTTTCAGGAAGGAAACAAAAGATTATCGGTGAAATCATTCAGTTCACTGAATATCAACCAAAAGAGTAAATCGTATGGTTGAGTTATTGTTGGCAGTGCTAGACTAGTTCACACAAAAGCATAAGAGAAAATTCCCCACGGGATTTTAGCTTGCAATTTCTTGCGTCTAATCAAATCTATTCGGAAATGAAATCTTAATGCATCATAAATACTGACCAATTTTAATATTGGCCTAATCACTGTATATGATCATTGTTTGCAGAACGAAGTACGAGATAACTACAGCTTAAGAATCACCTGAAATATATGAATAAAAAGTGTTCTAGGAGTCATTCTCGTCACTGTCGGAAAATCGAAAAGTGAATAAATTTGAAAATAGGGAATGTAGATTTTCGGTGATACATGTTCTAAAAATGATAAGAATGCTGCATCACTCTACATGGACATACTAAGAAATCTATGACTTTGGTCAAGAATTTCGAACAATTAAAAAGTGAAAGAAATTGTTTAAGAAAAATAAGGTGAAAATGTAATAACCTTATCCTGCACTCTAAATTTTACCATCAGTTAAATTATTTTAGACACAGTAATACTAAAAAACGGATAACTTCAAATGCATAATTTGAACAAGAGGGTAGATGAGACGGATTAGGGCAAACATTTTATTTTTATATGAGATTCTTCTGGCCGTTTAAATTGCCTTATTTCTTGCAATGAAAATATATTAATTATTTAAAATCAGAAAACCATAAGCAATGCAATTAATGAGAATTACTGAGAAAAAAGAAACAAAAAGAGTTATAGGTAGTAATTGAATCTGATATAATCACTGAAATCTTTTTCCTCAGATTTGCTTTTGTTGTAATTTCTAATGATAAGTTAGGAACTAAAAATTAGCTATTACTGACATATCGAATGGGAATATTTCTAATAAAAACGGGTTCGTCACGGGATCTATAAACGCAAACAGACAAACAATATCGATCCAGTGCAGAAGTTTGTGTTTCAGAAATATTTCTAAAGAAAAATATAATAAAACTGAGATTTAAGATTGAAATGTTTTATATACGGTTTATAAAAAAAGAAAAAGAAGATAAGCGCAGTTATCGTGACGATGGCACTTGCTCTTCTACTAATATTGAATTGACAAGTGATTTTTTTATTTGAAATGCAATTTCAGAAAGATTTGATTTGCATATTAACATAGTGAATGAGAGTAGAAAGTGATGGGATGAGTGATGAATAGGAAGAGGAGACAGAAAGGAGGGAATGATGTGCAAAAGAGGGATAGCAGCCAAGAATGGCAGGCAGGCAAAACTGAAGTACTGCGCTAATGTCGCGATTGCCTAGATGGGTTCTTCTTAAGAAAACTGTCACAATTCTATCGGATGTATAAATCATTAAGATTAATATAATGAGTGAATCATTGCCAGTTTGCAACGAATCATTTACCATGCTGTACCACCACTTAGTGCAATCTATGCGATTAAAATTTGAACTCATACTTTCCCGAAAATTTAAGTAATTTTTGAAGTGATAAGCTCCTACACCTTCCCATCATCGTCTTCTAGCTCTCGTCTTCAAAATTTCTAGGTCTTGAATTGGAATGTTTTCAAAACACCTCAAAATGTTTCTAACAAATTTATACACTGGATTAGTGGTAAAAAATTTTGAAAACAGCTCATATATTTTCCCCTCAAACGATATCATGAAATTGACAGGAACCAAAATAAGACTAAGAAACGGCCCCTACTCATATGTAGTCACCAACACGTTTATAACTTAATAGAGATTAGCTAGCCTCAACGAATAATTTCGCATGCATATATTAATCACTGCATGGTTGAAAAAAAAAATTGATTCTCTTTTCTTGACCACTGACATTTGGTCTGAACGATAATATGTAGTATTTTTGCTCTTCATATTATCTATCAAACATCTACTTTTGACCTTTCGCCCATTTCTAAAATGTTAAAGCTAACTTGAAAAATACAAGATATGCATCCAGTTTCTCCAGATAAATCATGTTTATTCAAATGACAATTATTGTCTTATCCCATTGTTGTGACTAAGTTACATACCAAACTTTCCTAATTATCAGATATGCTGTCGTTCTATTAAAACCTCACGTGAATTACCCTCTTTCGAGCAATAGTACTGAGAGCTTATTGTCATAATCGTTATCCATCGTATCACATCCAGAAAAAAGGCAGATAAATGCACTACTTGAATGTCCAGACTTTTCTAAAGAATAAAATATAGCATATTCCGTTATGGATCCTAATTTTCGAGCAGCTTGGGATTCTTGAAAAAAGGGCTAATTTTTATTAATAATTGGGTCATCCCAATTTATACAACATTTGATTATCTACGATTAAATGAAATTTTTTTTTTTAATGATGTCAGTACCTAGATTGGCTTCAGCAATACTAACAGCTACATTTTTGCATCCTTTTCTGTTATTTTCATTTTCTATTTTAATGAATTAAATTGAATACTACATATTATACCACCCAAAGCATTATTATTTAACGAACACTACTGTCAAAAAGTAGGCAGAGTTGAGAAAAAAAAAATGCTGTTATGATGTTGAAATGATGAATCTAATTAGATAATGAAATAGTCTATGGTAAAAATCAAGCTGATAACATGATATTCCTAGTCTGAATTAAAATGAATTGAACTATATCAACTACTTTTTGCATATCATATTAAATAAATATTACATCCAGTAATTCAATATAATTCTGACAATCGTGTGACACTTATTTCCATAAAACTATACCCGAAATAGCTCAATTCCGTAGCAGAAATATAGAAATGATAAAGGTACACATAAGTTATTTGCAAACTGTATAAGATTTAAATTAATGGTTTGGATTCTTGAAATGTACTCATAATATTTGAATGAGTATATATAAAATGCATTTTTAACTAAATGATATCATTGTATAATGGAATAACTTAGTGATTAGTTATCGTCTTGGTGACACCTTGCATCATATCGTTAAAAACTAATCTATATTTAATTGCATAATCAGACAGCTTGTACGATAAATTCATGTAGTCCAATTATTTATGTTGTCGATATGATCGTGTATGATATCCAAGCGAATATATGAGACTAGTAAAAGGAAAACCAATTGTTCTAATAAAGAAAGAGATTTGAAATATTAAATCAAGACGGTAACAAGTTCATGATATCGTCAAGAATGTAGTATATCAATTGACGGTGATTTTTTGTTATTGTTGGTTGTTTTTGGCATTTCCAAAAATCATCACATGCATGCTGAGCACAGCACAGAAACTTTGTCACTTTCATATGGAATAAATTCATCAGCAATTTACATGTTAAGTTAATAAATATTTTCCGATACATAAAAGAGTATTATTCGACTTCTAAATTTATGAATTCGTAAAATTCATGTTGGAAAAGATACTTGCTATACAATATTGCAATGATCATAATTTTTCCTCTACAACAGTACCATTTAAACAGCTCAAAGTTTATGGTTATTTGCAACACTTATAGAAAGATTATACAATAGGTCGACAGGACAATGAAAAGAAAGGAATTACCGATGTTATCGAAGAAAATGCGCTTTGAGATGAATGGTGACACATGAATCAAAGAGAATAAAAATTGGCGCGCGTGTAAGATAGTTGTATTGTGAAATTGTGGCGAGCAACATAGTACATTTAAATTAGGTACTAAATAACTGCGACAAATAACAATTCGTTGTTTTTGTTAATCGTAGTCAGTTCCGCTCTTCTACAAAGCAAGTCTTATTCAACAAATCTGGATATCTTATCTAGCTCTCCTTCTGATAGATCTGCTTTTGCTTCAGCACTTGCAAATTTCTTGCAACACAACGACCTTCTCATCATGTGCTCTCTTTGTTCACCTCATCGATAGCCATTTCCAGTGAATACCGAGAGGCCGTCCAAGACAACATCGTTATTTTAAGTGTCGAAAATGTCCCATTGTTATTTACAGGACCTGATACCTGCTGGAACTGATTTCGTTATCACAGAATTAAAGATCAGGAGCAGATTTCTTTATTTTCTTGAACCTAAATGTTAAAAAACATGGTAAAAAGAAGTTTCTTTGAAATTAAGATATAATGAAGATAATATCCTTTCGGTTGGTTCAGATAGAACTGGTTCAATGGAATCTGGACGAAAGAAAAAACTGATCAAATATGCATAGGTCGTCCATCTCGTTTCTACATAAGCTCCCTTTTTATTAATGAATTTTTCTGATTGAATTAGATGTAAAGACAAGGGTTAAGAAGAGAAATACAGGGAGAAGAGAAGGAACGGTAGTGACTTGTTTCATATTTCCTTACTTGTAACCATTATTTGTTTATCTCTTGTCCAATGACTGTCAATCGATCAGGACTTAGAAATAGATCCATAATGCTTTATCAGCTGCAAAGAAAAATGAAGTGAATATTAATTATAAGAAATTTTTTTAGGATTAAATGCAATAGATTATTAATATCATTTATAACTTTTTGAACTATTCTAAAGAATTTTATATTAAAAAGGTTCATTTCTTCAACTTTTAGATTTTGCTTCAAATTTTTCATGGTAGTTTTTTCTAGATAATGAGTGGATTCCTTCCGATTTATGCTGGTAAAATCAGAATATTAAACATATTAGGATGATATTTTGGAATATTGAAAATGTTAACATCGTTGTCACCAAGATAAAATATTTGGATTAAGTATATTATCATTATTACTTCCATTTAAAAACCAAAATTTGAACGATAATGATATAACAACATTTGCCTTTAGTGAATGTGTGCAGAAATGTGTTTCAACGTATACTACTCTTATATTGACATAAATCGAGCCATATGGGTCATTTCGCAGTTCAAGTGACCCTGTATAACACACAACATGCATTTTGCCTATAATTTTTTCTAAACTCCAGGGAAAACACTTCTTCACTAACTTTATTAACCTTTAGAATTCTTAAGTCATACTTAACTCCAATTTTCAAGTTTATTATCGGTTACTCACGTTGTACTCGTGAAAAATTAGGAATAGGAAAGCTACCAAAAAGCAAATGACCTTGTTACAAGATTTATCTAATGATTTTCATTATTAATTTTACTCTATATTGAAGTTTGCTTCATATATAATTCATTAATGTATAATTAATAGTAATAAAAATATTAATAAATAAATAAATAATAACAATAATAAGTCTCTTCTTTAAAGTATTATACCTTCCACTGCAGTTGGTATTTCGCTGGATTATCTAAATTCTCACATTGCTCTAACTGTTTTTGCAAACACAGTTTGGTGCCCACCGGAAAATGCACTACTAATATTTACATAAAATTCTTTTACAGAAGATCATAACAGTTAATATAAATGGTGTTTGGAAGTTATCAATGCTTCCATTTTATTCAAACGTAAAATCGTCCAAAAAGTTTCGGAATTTTTTAAAAAAAAAATCTATTTTATTATTGTGTTAAAGTGAGGGGAAATATATTCTGGAACGGTTAGAAATTTATTTTACGAATGTATTGTCAGGAAGTGAATGTCATTGTATAGAAAATAAGGATGCGACAATGATCAACTTTGTCCCATAGAAAAAACAGACAACAAAAAGACATCCTTAATGTCGAAATGTCCTAAAGCTTTAATATTATCGTTTCGTTTGTATAATCACGAAATGAATCACAATCGAAGATATTTTTTTGCAAATATATCACCAGTTTGAATTTTATTAAAGTCCATTTATGGTAGAAAAAAAAAGACCGGTTACTATTTAGATTCATTTCAAATGATAAATTATTCAACAGTTTAAATATCAACCAAATTCTTTTTGCCAAAGTGGAAACAACCAAAGAATCTTGTGAAATAATTAAGTTCACTAATAAATCATGCATTTAGAAACTGCTGACGCAGTGCAAAATAAAAATTTTTGGGGCACACGAAGGTTGAAACACCATACCTATCGTAAACTGCTGCTATGTGACGATCGATCTTTATTTGGAAAAATGTCTATAAGCCATTACTTTTGTAGTAAAATTTTGCTTATTTCGATGGTTTTTGTGTCAAGAATCTAAAATTAATAGTTCAGTACACGAAAAAGGCAATTGGGAAGATAAGAATAAGGAGATAAAAATGCTAATAATTAAGACATATTAGGTTTAGTTCAATAAATACTATAAATTCGGCACAAACCTTCGTCTATCTTGACGCACATTGTATAAATTGTTGGGAATTAAACCTCGAAGCTCAACAACTGATGGTATTTTAAATGTTTGACCATTTTGAATATATGTACAAGAAATTTCTGCATAAAAATTGTTTCGGAATTTTCCAGCATGCCATCCAGGTAAATCTCGCTCTTCCGAAAAAAATCAATTTTAGGACTGAGAAACATGGAAAAAAAAAGATGAATCAGATATGTTTAAGAAGCGAAAGTATGGAAAATCAGTCATGCTATATGAAAAAAGTGTGCTGTAGCCACAATGGCGAAGCTATAACCTAATGAACAAAGGCTATTGTTTTAAATGATTTTAATCCACTTTGTAACCTTAACACCCATAAAATCCCTCACAATTTTCTTCCTTACAAAGCCATTCATCGTAGTTCCTTGTTTGGTATGGCTCGGTTGCCAGGTATCTAGCTTGCTTATATCTTTAAATGTTTTATAATTTATATTTGTGTATTATGTACCACCAGAGAACAGTACCGCACTGCAAACATGACAACTTTATGAAACCCAACTCAAAACAAAAAGAACAACGATGGGAAGATATTATGAACACTATAGGAAAAGAACAATTAAAGGAGGAGGAGCAACTATATGAAGAGGCCCAAAAAGAGGGTTTTCTACACACACGAGAAATCGGACGCGATGCACTGTTTACGTTAATATCAAATGTACAACGACTGGAACAAGCTATACAAACCACTGATAAGGAAATAGGTAATATGGAACCTCCAACTCCAGTTCCAACCGCACCACTTGTCAGTCAAATGCAACTTCCAAAATGGGAATGAAGACTTTTGATGGCACCCTTACTGCATGGCCATTATTCTGGGATTGGTTCCGAACCGCCGTACATGATCAACCAATCCTTCCGCTAAATAAATTAACGTACCTTCGGGGCTGTCTTGTGGGAGCAGCAGCCTCAATCATAGAACCTCATGCGCTACGCACCCAGAATTATGAAGTAGTTATCACAGCACTAAAAAAGCATACGAACGGCCAGCAGCAATTAAACAAGCCTTATACAGACAATTGGAAAGATTACCTAGGGCGAAAGAAGGTAATCTACGAACCATTATAGAAGCTATTGATCGAATAATAAAACTACTTCGATTTCAAGAGAAAGATGTTAATTTAATCCATATAATCTATCTCATAAAATAAAAGCTTCCAAAGTCCATATTGGAGAAAATAGAATACGAGAAATCAGAATGGACAGTACCCATCTTAAGAGAACGCCTAGCAACCTTTGTTATTGCTGAAGAAAATGTGGCAAATATATTAGGCTATGCCTCAAAAGAACCATACAGTCCGCATTGGGACACAGTGGATGACATCAACGCTAACAGCAATCAACACGAAACATAATCCCCCGGCAAGAAAAAATGAGGCACCCATCTAGAACGAACAGAATGTGTCCACATCGTGCTCATGAATGCCGAAAATTTTCTACATCTGATGAACGCTCCAAATGAGTGGTAGAACTATGTTTTCTGTGCTAGAAAGAAGGACATAGATCAAAAGATTGCAAGGCTTCACAATGCTTCAAATGCAAACGAAGGCACCATCCAGCATTATGCTCACCTACAAACAACACGGCAAGAAAGTTACGAGGAACACTCAAGCAATAATGAATTTTTGTCCTTTGACCGTAACTGATGACGAGAATATGCAGCCACTACGACCTATGGATTTTCTCAGCTCACAAGGATACGCAATATCACCACTACCTATCCAACGAAAAGAACTGTCCACCGATTCGCATAATCGAGATTCTGTTGAATTGGAAGGAAGGTGCAATAATAGCAGATAAATTCGGGGAAAAGTGGCAAACGCAATACCTTCAAACACTACGAGACCGCAAACAAAGAGAAAATAAGGGACACGCGCAGACTAAACGCATTCCACAAGTGGGAGAGATTGTCTTGCGCACAGGAGCAGTACCCAGAGGATGCTGGCCTCTGGCGCGTATCACAAAGTTAGTAGTACAAGCCGGTAATATCCGAGCGGCACAACTTAAAATGTCCAATGGACACATTTGGGAAAGATCATTGAACCACCTCTACCCCTTAGAACTGAGCATCAGCCAAAACAAACAGTATCAAGTCGTGGACCCGAATATCGAACTAGAAGATAACGAAGATGAAAAAAAATTATCCATCCGTCCTCGATTCGGCGGAAGGAAAACGATGCCAAAGAGCTAAGAGAAGACTGATAACAAGTTCAGTCATTTTGTTTGCTACTCGAATCGGGAGTGTCGCCACAGTGGCGAAGCTACAACCTAATGAACAAAGGCTATTGTTTTAAGTGATTTTAATCCACTTGATAACCTTAACATCCATAAAATTCCTCACAATTTTCTTCCTTACAAAGCCACTGATTATAGTTCCTTATTTGGTATGGCTTGGTTGCGAGGTATCTAGCTTGCTTATATCTTTAAATGTTTTATAATTAAGTTATATTTGTGTGTTATGTATCAATTCATTATTGTAATGTTGTATAATTTTTAATGTTAGTCTGTGGTTTAATTACCCAAGTTTGAGGTTTGAATAATAAAGTATTTCACGAGGACTTCCACAGTACACGTACACAGAACGGAACCAGTACAGATTCGAGATTCTACTAGTATCGAGGACAAAGAAGTCAACGATCTGAACCATCAAGAAAGGAAACCTACTTTGTTTCACAAGGAACATGGCAGTAAGAAAGAAATTCTAAATTTGCTTTTACATATGCTTATGATGTTATGTTTTTTCCTTTAGATTTATTGATTTTGTAGGAAAATATCTCAATTACCGGTAGATTTGGTAGTAATGATTTTTCAAAAGCAATTTCACTACTGCTATATATATATATTTTTTTCTAAGTATTTACTTTGGAATAAATTAGTTTGATATCGTTTAAAAAAAAAAAAAAAAAAAAAAAAAAAAAAACTAAAGAAATTACTAGAGCATCAAATATGTTAAAAATGAAAATGTGGAAGCACATGGATGGTAATGCTGACTTTTAACCACTTTTATTGGCTTTACTAGATGACAAATGGATCTAAGCAGTCAATTTATTCACTTTATTGGATCACAAAGGACAAGAACTTTTTATACAAATTTACCTACAGTCATTTTTTCAATAATAAATCTGCATTGTTCCCGGTGGTCTGAAGTTGAACCTTTCACCTCTGCTATGTTGTCTTTGAAATATATTCACATCCTTTGTTGATAGAAATATCTTTTAAGAAAAGAAAAATGCAAACTTTATGAATTTTAACTAACATGTGCTATAGTATGGTAATTTAATGGTCGAAGCAAATAATTCTTTGGTTTCCTTCGTTCTATTTTGTTATATCCACTTAAGACGCTTTCCTACATGATTTCTAATGGTGGAAGAAAAAAAGTATTCTGGAAAAAATATTTACAAGTAGTGTCATTCCTTAAGTTTAAAAATTTTGACTGGCGAATAAAAATGAACAAGTAAAACAAACCCAAAAGTGGGTTGCAAAATGTATACGTTAAGTTCGCCGGTTTAATTGCCGCTTGAAGAAGAAATCTCTGCTGTTCCGGTAGTGTTCAAAAAAATTTCGGTTTCATTTTCATATGACGTACTATTTCCAGTACATCTGATTGGAAGAGTTTTTTTTTTTTTCTTGTTAAAAAGTAATGATGGAAATTTAAAGAATTGTATTTTGTGCTAAAGAGTCTCACATGATCCGACAATAAAATCAGTAGAAATGGAAATATTAACTCAGAGACCGTTAATTTTATTGAACGATTATATATATATTAAATGTCATTATCTAACTGATAAAAACTTATTGAATGATGAATTTACTCTGATGCTTCTGTCGAGAATTTATAAGATTGCGACACTCTAAAATATTATATTAAAAAAAAAAAAGAAAAATATGTCAGCAGTAAGCTTTATCTGAAAACAAATGAAAAATGATAAGGGAATGTCATCCTGCTTGATGGTCATATAGCTAAGCAACTGGGCATAAAACCCAGTGGATATGGCTCACTATTCGATATAAGTCACCTCGCACATAACTCATTGTTCGATTTTCGAAAATATCCGTAACGACGGTAATTTTGGTGAACTTTAGGCAAAAGATCTTGTTGTACGAATTGCTCCATGGGAAAACAGGGAGATGTGATGAAGAAAAAGATGATTCTTGGATTAATCTCTGCTGAGTCTATTTGAGCTTTTCAGCTTTTCTTCGCAACTATGAATTTATCCTATTGAGATTTTCTGATACTGTTAGTTTATTTAAATTTTAATTTAAGCTGTTCGATTAAAATCTCATACTTGAGCCTGAAACCTCTAAAAAGCTTTAAATGCATGAATGAAAAGAATTAAAAAACGGTCCACTTCAATTTTATTTCAGTCCATCATTCCATCATTCCTTTAACATCAGTTTTATCCCGAAGAGGAATGCACTTCTACTTGCTAAGTTCATTTTTAATTCGATGTAGTAACAGCCATCCACAAAGTATCACTGCAGTTTTCCGGTAATTTGCTACGAAAATACCCAAGCGAGCACGTGCTAAAATAACAAATTTAGCTGTTTACAACATAACCTCTCCTAAAGCCGAGAAATGTGATCTTTCTTTCACGTCAAACTTGTTTGATTTGTTGACAGAATGGAAAGAGAAGAAAAGGCAACAGAGTTCTCATATGACTGCATATATTTCTAAAGAAGGTCTGAAACAATCAGAATGATTGAACTCCCATTTCATCGGATTTTTGCCAGACTTCTAAAAAGTTAATCGAATTCCTCATGAAAATTGAATTTCTCAAATGCACTTATTAAACCATCAGTATTTTCATAGCCATTTAAAAAGTAATCACAATAAAATAATGATCAGCGTAACCGAAATGGCAACTGCTTGAGAGTTTCTTCAGCCAAATATTTCCTTCATTCTGCAGTATCCTCTTCTCGACACCTTTATTTGCTTTTCGATGAGCTGCAGTTGGTGTGTAATTCATGAAATGTTTAAAATATTTCCTTTAAAAACTATCATTATGTAACTAACATAATGATTTGAATTTTAAGAACCATTAATCGCAAATAATTTGGTGAACTAATTGCAAAGTGAGAACATCTAATTATTCAAATTAATTTGATATGTTAACTAGTAATATCATTAGAATCTAATTTCATACTGTAAAAAAAAAAAAAAAAATCACACAGAAACTGATATGCAGAATCATGATGAATGTGTATTTTATTTTTGAAAATGTATGTTTTTGCTAACTTTTTTTTATAGTCACGAAATTTGACAATTGTTCCAGTTCTTAAACTATTGCCACAAAGTGAGCATATGTAATTTCTTTGATACTTGTGTAATTGAGTTCTCTGATATAATTCACTATTTGATACCTTCTTCATTAGAGTTTAAATTAAAAATTTTACGACTAAACTTCTTCCATATTTCCAGTTATATGTTTTGTCAAAAAAACAAACCTTTGATTTTTATATTTTTACATCCCTCTTCTGCAAAAAGGTAAGCAGAAAAAGATCTAACCACATCTATTTACTCGCCTCCCACAAAGTTTTCTGTTGACGTACCTCCTCCCTTTGCTCCTCCTGTTTAATTCACCAACTATTATTATATTACACCAATTCTTCAGTTGTACACGAACCATTAGTCTTGGTATGTTTTTTCTGTATATCTCATTTGTATTTTTCATTACTTGAATACAGCACTCACACCTTTTCAATAAGTTTTTCTTTACATACACAGATTTAAACCTCTAAAATTAGCATAGATGGCGCTTATTTTGTCTCCAATAATTTCATGCGGATTTAATCATCAGTTGTATTTCATTTCCAAAGCTGTTGTTTTTGAATCATTGAAAGGTCGACTTGTATCATTCCTGAGCAAGTAAGATAATTTGAGGATTACTGTTCGTATTACGCTATTTTGCTGTAATATAAAAACACATGCTGAAAATGAATACACAATTAGCTGCTGCCTTTAGTGAAATGGTGCTTCATCTAGCTAGCTAACTATCTTACTAAGCCAGTTTCATCTAACGAACTTCCAATCTGGACCAGTCTTCGTCAACTTTCCCACTCTATTTCTCTGGGTTTTCCTATGGATTCTTTTTTCTTCAAATAAATTTTCCATCTAAAAATTCGACCCCATCCCTCTTTTCCATATTTCTTTACATCTCCTTCTAATAACCACACGTGTCTGCATGCTTACACAGCCCTTGCTTTAGTTACCCTAAGTTTGTTTAATAAAAAAGCCTTGCGCGCATTTCTGGAAATGCATGCCTTTTATGAAACTCAGCTTCACAAATGGATTTATAACGAACCGCTCAATGGCCTTATTTCATGCAAGTTTTGCCCAAACAATTTAGTCACCTTAAAATTTTCAGATTTGGTGCGATTTCTAATCCTCCAGAAGTTCTGTTGTTACAGCAAGGAAGACGCAACTGAAATTAGGCAGCAAGCGTGATGAGCGCAAGAAGTGTACGAACCCTCATACGCAATTCTTCTTCATTGCTTAGTATTGCTTGTAAGTTATTTTTTATAAGAAGTGTAGAAGAAAACAAGGCCGAGCCCTCAACCCTCAATCCTTCATTACTTAGTATTGCTTGTGTGTGTATAAGTTATTTCATGAAAAAAGGATGGCCAATTGTTCTAAGGATAAAACAGAAGCGAAAACATTTCCAAATTTCAATTCGAAAATAATATTTTCAAAATCATATAAGTCATTTAAAAGCAGCACTGAAAACTTGGTTTGAAGCTTAGAAAGATTAAAGAACCACGCTAAGTTCACTGCTGTTATGTGCTTTTTTTCAAAAATATTTCATAATTTAACTTTTCTTTTCTGCCAGCAAAAAAAAATTTTTCCTCAAACTTTCTTTTAAAATTTAGAGCCATGTTACTATATTTTTTTCAACAGAAACATGAATGATCTGACATTGTTAAAAGAGATAACATGGTTCTAAAGTACATATTTAATAAAAGTAATTTATTTAAGAAAGTTGTAGTGAAATCTTCTTGTTGAAATGAAATCGTTCGCACACTTAATTGTTCATTGGATGAATTACTTGTATTGAGTTATTTTACAATTCCTTCATTAACTGTTTTGAATTCATGAAATAAAAATCCAAGACAATATCTATTTTAGATGAATATGGACGACCATTCCCATTTACTTCCATACAAAAACGTCTCACTCGGCGTTCAATTCGTAATGACCAGATGTTTACGAGTCATTTTGTACAAACAGTTGCACCTATACGATGTCAAAAAAATGTGTGTTGATTTGTTATTTTTTTAATTCATTGATTTTATTTGTCTGTTTTGAATTCTAAGTTTTTGGTAACTGACCATTGAGAATTATGCTAATATTACTCTGCCAAACTGCGGAACAAGAGAATGAATGACTTGACTCATGAAAACGTAACTAGTTCAGAATGATACAAGTTCAACTATAGCATGCAAGTGACAGCTTGATTTGCATATTAAACAGTTAAATTGCCAAAAAGTTATAAAAAGTTATTTCGAGAATTGAATAAATTTGCTTAGCATGAGGCTCATTTTGCTGACATCAAGGTAACATAAGCTCTTAAAAGATAAAATAATGATAGTAACATAGCTATTTATAATTGTCGGAAATAAAATAAACTAAAATTTGTTGGAAATGATTGGATTTCGCTTTCAGAGCAAGGCTTCACTTGTAATTTTCGACAAAGATGGCACTTTAATTTGTTTTCATTCCACGTGGGTTCCATGGGCGATAAATGTGGCCAAGAAGTGATTCCTGGTTTTTCTTGGACAGTTTAAATTATTTGAAGTTGCTCAAAATAGTTTTTAGCAAAAATTTAAGGCGGAGAAACAAACTACAATTTATTAACATATTCCAGAATAAGTGAAGCAATAAATATGAATGTTGAAAAAGAAATATATTCATTGCTGGGCTTGCATGAGAAGGAACAGAAGGTGAAATCTGGGCTTCTCGCTGAAGGAACTATGGCACAAATACGTGATGCCATTGCCCGGTTGCTGATTAATCGCGGAATTGAAGCTACTGATGCTGTTAAAGTCTTTGTTTCCTGCAATTCCAAATTTAGATTTGGATATTTTTTTTGCTGAGATAATTTTCCTCTCTCACATGAAATGAATGTAACAGGATGATTTTTTTTTTTTTCATTTTTCAATTGTGCAAAAATCGTTATCACTTCGATTTTATTACTTTTTTATTAAAATGGCATTATCGGTTGATTTGCGGCCTAAAATACGCTTGCAGCATATTATGGCAGCAATCCTAGAGTCGAATGAATCCAGTGGTCAAGCTGCTAAAGAAATTTCTGATTTGTGTTCATTATTCCGGCAACTACGAGAAAACGGAATCAAAATAGCCATTTGCACCTCAGACAGCCGGTGAGTTCTCGCGGCACTTACATTTTTTGAAATTTCTGAAAACCAACTAAACTTCTAATGATAACTAAAATTCAGCTCACGCATAATTTAGCTCACGCATTCAATCGATTACAAATAGAAAATCATTTACACTGAAAGAGTGTAATCATGCTGCTGCTGCATATTGCATAGAGTAACGTAAACAGTTGTTGTGGATAACTTTCGTCTGCTTTATGCATATCCTCTGATGACATTATTTAATGAAAAATGTGCCAGCATAATATTTCCAGCTTTTTATTTTCGAAACTTTTACTTGTCAAATTCAAGTAAATTTTTCCTCAGAAAAGGGACCTTAACTACATTACGACGATTACAATTGGAAGATCATGTTGATGTAGTAGTGTGCGGTGATGATGCTGGTTCCATACCAAAACCGCATCCTCATAATGCACTTTCCATATGTCGTGCGTTGGATGTTGATCCACAAGTAAGCTTCATAAAATTGGAGGTTCAGAAGTTTTTCTTTATTTGTTTTATTTTCAATGAAGTTTCACTTTCATGAAAAGTTCGCTTTAAAGTATCACCTACAATTAATTTGCTAAAAATAGAATGGTGTCATCATAAGGTCTGTACCAGATTTTGAATGAAATTGATTACACTTATTTAGTGTCCTAAAATCTAAATTATTTAATTTTCATACAATATGGGAAAATTATTTTCAGGATACACTTGTAGTAGGTGATACTTTAGCTGATATGGGTATGGGACGTTCCGCTAATCTTGGTAGTACTGTTGGAGTACTTTCCGGAGTATGTGACATCAATGAACTGCGACCACAAGCTGATCACATTGTAAGAACGTGCAGTGTGAACCATCTTATCAGATTATCAACTAATTGATTATTCATTCAATCGTTTTAGGTTCGCGATGTTAGTGAGCTGTTACCCATTGTACTGGATATGAGGAGATGGTCACTGTCATGATTGCTGATATCCGCCTTTGATAAATTATTCACCAAATTCTTTCACAGTTTTCCTTCTTCCATTAATATATCTAAATGAATTAAACTAAAAATTCATTGGAGTTGATTTGTTAGTAACGTAATTATAAGACACAGTATTATCATTACGCCACTTTTTATTTGCAGTCTCACGATTTGAAATGCCACTCGTTCCAGTTATGTCTTGAAATGCTTTTCAAACTGATAATACTTACTTGCTTTATATAATCTTCAAGTACTCTATTACGACACGATATTCTAGAATTGCTTAGGAACATCAGTGATAGAGGATCATTTAGTCACCTGAGATGACTATTTCTTGATGGAAATAACTACGACAAATAGTTATTATATTACAATAAATAGTTGTAACAAATTTTCCTCTGCACATGAGTGATCACTAAAGAACAAGTATTACAATAAGTAGTGCAAATAACTGTATATTCCGGCAGCACATTTCGCCTATTGCAATGTAATTCCTACACACTTTTTTGTTTGTTGCAATGAATTAATTCCAACAAACTTCGTATTAAAGATTGTGACACATATAGTGATCAAGTAGGATTTAATAAAAAGTACAGGTGAAAAGCAAATTTTGATTTTAAAATATTCTTAACAATTAATGTTATTCCTCTCGAACTACTATTATCAAAACAACTTGATTAGATAGTCAAAACACAAATGATATCTCATGCAAAACGACAACATATAAAATCAGAAATTTAATGGCATTCTTGATTCTGCTTTAAAAAAGTCAAAACAGAAGATATCAGTGCAAAAAAAAACGAATTCGTCAAATGGTGTTTTACTACACAAATGATGTTTTAAAGCTAATTTGGTATTTTTAATCAGCTGATTAGCTGATTTCTCAGATTTCAATTCCTTTTACACTACTCCAATTTCTTATGTTACAACTAAAAAGTAAAGTATTCATTTATCTTGAAATCAAGCATCCAGATACCTCATGCTAGTAAGACTTTAAAAATTCCTCATTTTCTCACAGAGGGTATACAGTATGAGACGTGAACTTGTAATGCAAGTAAATTAACCCAGTATATTTATTTAGTTATATTCAGAATTTGCAAAACATGCTAATAAACTTTTATTTGATTAAGTGGAACATTGTCCTGCCAAACAGGTTATTCCTCATACTCTAGCAACTATATCTTTCTGAGCGAAAATTGTTATCATTTGGCTCTTTTTCAAAAAAGTGAAGGCGGAGAGACAGCTGTAATGATATTGCTTAGCCACTATAGTCGAAATATATATACATAAACTTTAAAGACATCAATAAACATACACTGCAACATCAGTAGACATATCTGCATTAACTGAATTATTGTTGGAAAGTTAATTGAAATTGTGACGATCGAGACCACCCACGAAGCTTTCATATAGGTCTATGTGATGTCATTGTCTCTCGTTGCTGCAAGCTACCTACATCAGACTATTGCTGTTGATTACTGTAAAAGAAGTTGAGATTATTTGAAAGTACGCCGGAAATGTTGCGTGAATGGAATGTGGAACATGATAACACTGATCTAATCACATAATTTGATAAGAATCATTTAATATTATTAATTCAATCAGAGCATTTTGGAATGTTTAGAAATGCTAGCGTTTTAATATTTTATGCTCCCTCTGCTACAGTATTTTGATGGAGCCATGCGTAACATGTGAGATGGTTGTGAGAGAGACTGTTGTTTCAAATGATAATTACAAAACTTCGAAAACATATGCTTTACAGGTTGTCAAGCGACTTTTCCCTCGCTATGAAAGTTTCTGACCTCGATGTGTTTGTTCTGAATTCTTTTCTTTGGATTAGGAGACCCCGTCCGACCAAGCACTGCTTTTATTGCATTGATTTCCATTAGTGTTGCATTTGCTTGTTATAACAATCTAGCTAGAGGAAATTTCAACAGATAATCAAGATAATGCATTTTACAACGTATACAAAAAAGATTTATGCATTGTACGATATGAGATAGGAAGTTTGTAAAATGAACAAAGGTTGGCGACATTTAATTTATGCTTCAAATATCACCAAATGTAGTGCTAGAATTACATGCAGTTATCTCTCTCACACAGTCACTAGAGTTTAAAGTACACATCATTGCAGAAGTTAGACCACAAATTTTCTTTTTCCTAACATTTATGGTTGATGACAGGCTGGTGGCTAATTATCGACCCTGTATTAAGCGTACGCGAGTTTCAATAACAAAGGTCTAAAAATCTCTCAAGCCTTCCCCTTTTCCCTTTCGGCAGAACAGCCTAATCAAGAAGGGATATATTCTTCACTAGCTTTAACTCACTTTTCTCACCTCATAATAACATTAGTTACTTCACGTGATCGGGAACCAGTTTTTCCATCGGACCTGCTTAATTTTAGTTTGAAAGAATAATAAGATCAATATTTTATAGATTACATTTGCAGGATGTATTTGTTTAGGCAGGCCTTGAATTAAATCATTTGGATGCACACGTTACTGCTGAAGAACGCTAATACTTCCATATAACGTATTGTCCCCTGCAGACTCTAAAGTATCATAAATCATAAGGGATTTTTATAATAACGACAAATTTCCTCATAACTAATAGGCCTTCCATTCCGGTTTTTCACAATAACGTGGTACAAATATTTAGGGTCCCGGTGAATGGCCTGTATAATTCACATGTGCTCCCATCTCCGTCTTCTCTTGCTCGTTCGATTAACTGTTACCAATGATCTTTGTCCATTCCCGTGCTCTCTTCCGATGTATCAACTTCGTGGTGATATAGAGGATATGTTACCTGCTAGCAGTAGCTGAGAATCATAAGGCAAGATGCCTTTTGTAGCACAAGCAAAAACATTTAATAAATATGCATTGCGGTGTGGCACAATACTTTTTTTTGCAAGCCTTTTTGCAATGCTGTCACTAGATTCCAGCGTCACGCACTGGAATGACACCACTTGTTGTGAAAATAGATGTTCGTTCATAGAGTGCAACTAGCTATAAATATTTAAAAATTTCCAAGCGAGAAAGGTGGCCGGTGGCTAATTATTTATATGTACCTCAAATATCGACTTTTTTTTTATCCTCAGCGCTATGGTTCAGCTACTTTTAAATGTGAGTAACCAAAACTGTAAATGTTAAAAAAGAAGACGTAGGGCAGACAGTATCTAAATTCTTCCTTGTCTATTCGACGTTCTATATTGTCTTAAAGACTTATAAACGCGTTTCAGCTTGTATAGGTAAAAACCAGAAGTTTTAAAAAGACGTGAGGTGTACATAATGCAAAAATTTAAACATGAGACGCTAAATAACCTAAGTTTTTTACCATTAATCTGCAGACATTGTGAAATAAATAGCTTCAGTCTCATTATGAGATTAACAGCGAAAGTTGTCAAGTAGTTTTTTTTCGCATATAATAAAATTAGTTTGGTACGCGAAGAGTATATTAACACTGCGTTTAATCTGGAATAGTGGTAAATAGCAATGTTTAAAAGTATGTTCACCTTTTTTTTTAGTTTTTTTTTACAGCTATTTCAAGAATCTCAGAGCTAATAAGGGATATATTAATTGCAATGGTTATCGGTGCAACCCCTCTTGCAGATGCACTTTTCTTTTCGTTTCGCCTTGCCAATCTACTTCGAGTGCTTTTTGCAGAACGAGCGTTCACTCTCTTTTATATTCGCTATATTCAGCAGAACCAGATGATAATAAAAAGGCATTTAGGTTTGCGAATAGCGCAATATCTCTCACGTTTAATATTTTATTGATTTTTTGTCTTATTGCGCAGACTTCCTTTCCTTATATGATTCAAGTTCACTCCTGAATTTGACCAAAGTAAACTTGTCCTCATTGTGACTTTATTGAGAATTATGATGCCTTACATAATTTTTGTTTCAACAGCATCACTTATCGGGGGAATATTGCAAATAAAGCAACATTTCGCTTCAACAGCTATTGCACTGATCATTTTGAATCTCTGTCAAATTGTTAATTTATTCACGCCTTACATAAAAACACCAGCCCACAATCTCTCCATAGCTGTCCTGGTTGGAGGGATTTTCCAATTATTATTGATGCTATTTTTAGTACATCACAAATTAAAGGCTGCATTTTTTAAACATAAAATTGAGTAATAAAGTTTTTTAAGCGGCCAGCAATTATCAGCAACTGTAACTCAAATAAGCCTATGGATTGATATAATTATGGCCAGTTTTGTACCAAATGCATTGTCCTATAAATACCGCAAAGAGTAATTGATACTGCAATTGGTATAGTGCTTCTTCCTTTAATTTCAAAACAAGTAAATGATACTGAAAAAACAGCCAAAATACAAAAATCTCAGTGTAGAGTTAATACAAATTGTGCCAACAACTGCCGCCTTTACTATCATTCCTGACATAATTTCACTTACGCTTTTTTCTCACGGTAAATTTGATCACTACGCAGTACAGCAGACTGCTGCCACATTACTAACCCTGGTTCCAAATTTTATCTATGCTTACACTACTTTTGTTTCGCCCCTTTTCCAACTCACTCTCTCTCAATCCTTTGTTTAACAGAACTCTACGGTGATTCCTGTCAAGATGGGAAATACGAGTGTGGAGTAAAAACGATGGCAAAGAGCAAAACCTATTGGAACTAGTCTTAAAAGAAATTAGCCCGAGAGCTCCGTAGCGTTTCGATACTAGAACTATGCGGCTGGCGGCATTTTGAAACTGTCCGTCTCTCTTGGCGAATCAACCTGTTATGTTATTTCTGAGGCAGTGAGGAAGGGAAGAGAACTTGAGGATGTTGTCAGTTTTTGTTCGGAAGAACTGGTTGGTAACAACGACAACTCGAAATTACGGATGGGGTCGGTACCATGGCGCCATAGATCCAGAATTGGGTGACAAGAAGCCAACATACATCATCATCGGAGCTGGTTCAGCAGGATGTGTTCTGGTATATCTTTAACAGACTTGACAGAAAAGTCATATGGCAGTTACTGAAGAATACACAAAGGAGTTATAATAACGTCCTATTCAGGCTAATCGATTGACAGAAAATCCTGCCAATCGAGTGTTGTTGGTGGAGGCTGGGCCACGAGATTCAAAATGGAATTGGAAATTTCATATGCCAGCAGCACTCATGTACAATCTGTGCGATGACAAATATAATTGGTAAATTCCATTCTTTCTACCATAGAGTCAAACTACAAACAAATGTACCTGATATTGCATCTCATTTGGATGTAGAAGTGATAATACGTAAATACTACTGAAATGTCTCTGGAAATTCCAGGACATTTGATAAGCTAGGTCATGGATATATTCATATAATAATGAAAAAATACTGTGAACGATGATTTGGGAATATTATTTTAAATAGAACGTTTTCTTTACTTATTATGCATGTAAATTTACAGGTTTTACTACACTCAACCGCAAAAAAATATGAATGGCCGAACAGTTTACTGGCCTCGTGGACGTGTTTGGGGAGGCTCTTCCACTCTTAATGCGATGGTATACGTCCGTGGACATCCGCTTGACTATGATCGTTGGGAGCAAGAGGGGGCTACAGATTGGTCCTACAAGTATCCTTAAAGTTCATGTTCTAGTTTCAGATTAAAATTAGAGCCGGTTTATAACAATTCGAACTTCTCGCTGGAGAAACTCATCATTTCAGGAATGTACTTCCTTATTTTAAAAAGGCTCAGACTCATGAACTGTCAAAGGGACCATCAGATCTTTATCGTGGTTGGAATGGTCCACTTCATGTTACGCAGGGAAAATGCGAAAATCCGTTGCACAAAGCTTTTATTGAATGCGGTGATCAAGTAATAATATTTCAGTTATATAATGTTATTTGCAGTTTCTTCGTAATATAGATTTCTGGACAATTTTGGACTCAAGATATAATGAATAATTTCTTCAGTTTGGCATTGGTATTGTGGATGACATGAATGGATACAAACAGGAAGGAATAGCCCCAATGGATCTAACTATTCATAAAGGCTTACGGTGGAGTGCATCGAGGGCTTATTTGTGGCCTGTATGTAAAGAAGTTTTCACTTGTTATTTGTGTTGGTGTTTCTACGAAAATAAATAACTGTTATAGGGATGAATTAATTATACTCCTTCGTATTCTCTTTTCCAGGCACTTTCGCGCCCAAATTTACATACCTCGTCGAATATATTGTGTACACGCATATTATTTGATAGGAACAAAGCAGTTGGTATCGAGTTTATAAGAAAAGTGTTTTTTTCATTATTTTCTTAGCATTTTGATAGATTTTGAGGGATTGAGTACGGGGAGCAAAGCTAACTGATAGTAATTTAGTATTCTTTTGATAATAAATAGTATCTTAGCTTCAAATATTTTATCCAAATTCATATACGAGGTCAGTTTTTTTTTTTTTCTTTTGTGTATTTAGATCTGGTGAAGCATAAGCAGAAGCAATATCAAAGAGATTAGAATGTAATAACTTTGTGAAGTTAAGTATTTTTAACCTATTTTTGTCATAAAATGGTAACTGCACCTGAAGGTTTTCTATTTTGCAGAATGGTCCACTTACCGATACTATCAATTCGTGGAATCGTGAGAAAGTATATTGTGAAGAAGGCGTAATTCTTGCCTGCGGTGCAATTAATACTCCACAGCTATTGCTTCTTAGTGGGATTGGACCGGCAGATAACATAAAAGTAAAATTTTCAGTTCATGACTGTATTTAATCGGATTGATTATATTTAATAACTTATATTTAATAATTTCAGGCTCATTCGATTCAAGTGGTCGAGCATTTGCCAGGAGTTGGTAATAACTTGCAGGATCATCTTGAGGTTTACGTACAGCAGGTTTCTTTCCTTAAGATCTCCATTTTTACTGCCAACCTTCGACGCTCGTGTTTTTAGTGTAGTTGCAAAATAGATGAATTCAGGTAAATTGAAATTCAAGTTTCAAGTATATTAATGATGCTTAGCAATGTACGCAACCAATTACACTTTACAACAAGAGTTCCTGGCGTTACCCTCATAATATGATCAAAGTTGGCTTGGAATGGTATTTATCTAAGACTGGGCTTGGAGCGAGCAGTCATCTGGAGTCTGGTGGTTTTGTGAGAAGTACGCCAAGGGTTCGTTCGTTTTCTTCTGTATGTGTTTTTCAGTGCTTCACTTTGTTATTTTCAAATGAACTTGACCAAGGTGAATTTTCTAGTAATTTTGTTTCCAGGTTTCTCATCCAGATATTCAGTTCCATTTCCTCCCTTCTACGGTGCATGATGATGGACGCAGTACTGGTAAATGTCACGCTTACCAGGTAATCATTCCATTCCTAAATTTCTGAAAATCACTTGCTTTCCATGCTTGGAAAAGTCAATTTTGTTATGCACTATAATTCAGTGTTTGATTAATTTAGGTACATGTTGGTCCACTGCGATCCAAGTCTAAGGGTACAGTAACTCTGGCTAGTAATGATCCCAGGCGACATCCGCTTATGAATCCAAATTATTTGGATCATATAGACGACTATGTCGAATTTAGGCTTGCCGTACGAATTGCAAGGTTTTATTTGAGATTTTTTGATAAATAACTTTATGCTTTGAAGAAATCAAAGTAATTTAAGTAATTTAGTTATTTCCCTAATTGTTCTAGAGCACTGTTAAGTCAACGAAGTTTTGATAAATACCGCGGCGATGAATTATTACCCGGAGAAGATTGCCAGAGTAACAAACAGGTACGATAGGCTCTACTATTGCACTGATTGTGCTGACGGATTCATACTACATGAAATGTTAGAGTTTCAAGGTACCACCATGTCAAATATTTTGACAGATTGACGAATTTGTTCGAACGATGTCTGCTTCTGCTTATCATCCATCCTGTTCATGCAAAATGGGAATTGAATCCGACAAATTAGCTGTGGTTAATCCGAAAACAATGGGCGTCTATGGAATTGGGAATCTTTATGTAAGTTTGCTGTTTCCACTGCAAATGAAAAGACGTAGAACTACAAATCCTGATTAAAGAAACAATTCAAAAGTAATCAGTTGAAGGTAGCAGACGCATCAGTAATGCCATCAATTGTAAGTGGGAATCTTAACGCTCCAGTTATTATGCTAGCTGAAAGGGCAGCAGATTTAATACAAAGGAATGCACCACTGGCTGAGGAAAATGTACCAATATGGTCTTCAAGTGCAGAAGATTCAGCGAAACATATTTCCACAAACAATTCATAGTTCAAAAATCATTACTTTGCTCAGTTGTTAGACTGTTACCGTGGTTCATAGCTTTTAAGTAGTTCATAGCTTGTCTTATTTACTAGTTTGTCATTGGTTTTGTGTTGTCTCGAGTTATTAAATGCCTGATTCTCCATTGATTTTTTAACTTAATCCATGTTAGCCCTTCTAGTCCTTGGAAATTAAGACTTTATTGGTTTTTCATGATAGCAAACATTATTATATTGTAAATAGAATATGCAGATATCCTTCAGAACATTTCCTAGTTGCTGCGAATAGTGTTTTTCAAAAGTAAGTTTGTGTTGGTTCTCAGAACAGCATTTCCGGACACCAAACAAATCTTCAAATCAAATCAGCAGCAGTAATGTCATTTTTTTTCTACCTAATCGGAGACTCGTATTTTCGTAACTCCTTTGTTTTTATTCGCATTTACTTCTTAACCATTCTTTTCTGGAATCATTGCATCCTACTATATTAATGGGTGTCCTTTTTGATCATTTCAATCATGCATATATAAATATACTGTTATCCACACCTTATATATTGTGTTTTGTCGTCTGATCTCAATGATCATATGGGTACAATGCATTTTGTTATATGGTTGTTTACAGACACAACTTTTTAACCTTGACAGTACAGATTATCTGCTGAGGTTAGGCAGGTATCGGATTATTTTTATCAAGGATGTGGAATTAATGTATACAGAAATATTTCATCTTTCTTATAAGTTATAAATGATCTCGAATATGTCATCGAATATATAGTACAAGACAACTGTCCTGATTTTCATTTCAGTAAATAAATTATTTACACTGAATAACTAATGCAGAATGTTTGGTTGAAGTCTGTAAATCTAAGCAAATCAGTTTTTAACATTTGTCAGCATGTCTTCATTTATCAGCGTTTTGTCGTTCAAACAAACTAAGGCACTTGGAAAAATCTTGAGATTAACGGTGATCGAGGCACCTGCAATACTGTAATGTCCAACATTTTCACTTCAATCGTCTAATTTGTATTCTTTAAAATATGGTGGATGACGTCATTTATAAATAGTAAAATTACACCATAAATACGGTCCTGTCGGTTGGAAGGCTTGCAAATATTGTGGTGCGCCTGAAAAGTTGCTGAAATTCACCCTTGCATTGGTAGTACTGAGAAATACTAAGCAAAGAGTTCGCTACAAATTAAAGAATATTAAAAGATGAAGCCTACATCATTTATGTGATAGAAAGCGCCTCGTTCCAAATAAGCACTTTCCGGTGGCACTAATATGCCTTTCTGACGCATTATAAATGGCGCTTTCTCCGTTTCTGCCACCGAACTTATCACGGGTACTGTATCAATAATTTTAAGAAAATCTTGATGAAGCTGAAATAAAGCAATTAACTCGCTTACCAGGGATTTGCTTACTCACATAAACTATGGACACTTCAGTAATTACGGACTGTCTGTACCTGTCTGTTTATTGTACTCTGCTGGTACAAAAGTTTTACATCATCAGATGGCCGCACGCCCAATGGTGCATACATTGCATAGGGACTGCCTCGGTGCGGCGTTGCCATAAAAAGTATCCCCATCGTGCTGCGACGTATTTCTGAATCATCTAATAAAATTCGCTTCACTAACAGTCCACCTGAAAGAGGCCTGCAGAAAGTAGGAATCACCTAAAACAACAAACAAGTATGATAAACTATCGTCAAAAAGAATTCAAAATATTTACCCATGCTATGACAAATGAACAGAACAGGTCGATCACCAATACCAGCTGTTCTGAGTTCCACCGCAAATTTTCGAGCCCTTGTGCTCAGTGTTTCAACAACTCCTACAAAATGCACAAGCGAGGACAAGTAATCAATAGCAAGTATTCGCATTGGAACAGGAACATCCTCTGGAAGCCATGCCTGAAATAAGCAGCTACAAACTATGCTATCAAGGATTGCTAATTTATATCAAAAAAATTCTCGTAAAAATTACCCTTGGCCAACATCGGGAGCGTAGTGTCTTTGAAGAATTATCTCTTTCTCGCCAGGTCCAAAAAACGCTACCGCGGATACCATGAATTAGCACTAGATCGACTGTCGGTGGTTGGTCATCTTCAGGACGAAAAAGTTCATATATATTAGTTTTTAATGGCTTTCTACTGCTATCAAAAACACTCAAACCATTATTGCAGATCTGGAAACTTGGCTAAAATTATAAAAAGATTCTTGTGAAAATCCTAAGCGATATAATATTCAATGGCATATAAATTATATGTGAATTTAAACAATTATGGAAGCGCATAAAATGTTCTAAATATGCATATTCAGAACAATCCAGGCACTTCCTTGTTATCATGAGATAAGCCAAACTCTACAATATGGATGATTTATTTTCCTATTGTATCCATGCTGAACGTTGATTTTGCTAAACAAGATGAATATTATAAGCTTTCAAATTTATCGGAAGAAAAATTTTAAGTAAATTTATTATAACAGCAATACGAAGTCTAAAAGAGGGGTAATATAATGTACCTTCTCAGCCATTAGAACTTCTTCAAAAACCTGTGAATTAGCCATAGCAGCGAGCACTGGAAGCCATTCTGAAAGTTCAATTTCATTTTTTAAACCAAGAAGAAAGCAACTCGGTTTAGTAAAGTAACAACGATGGAAATAACCTGAATTTGCAACTGCTGTTGCGCAGTAATCATTCTGCATGACAATGTTTGCTAATATTTTCAATGTATTTAAATAAATGCTATGATTCGTCTCTCGATAATGGTTGCAAAGTTCCAACAGTAGTGCAAGAATGTCTTGATTAATAAGTTCCCTTCCAAATCCAGTCTGAAATGCAAAATTTCGAATTAGATAAATGTGAATTTCACACTAATGTTTAACAGAGTGAAATAAATAATTAGTACTACGTGAAACTCTTGCTCAAGGTACTTCATCAAAACTAATAACTACTTCTGGAATAGAATGAATAGCGAAATTTGCAACAGAAGAAAGTGTTGAATGAAATCAAATGTGAGAAACTGTTACCAAAAAATAATAAGAAATACCTCGGTTATGATAACAAGCTGGGAAAGAAATCGATTCAAGCGTAGGTCTTGAGATCGGCGTCTTTTTAGAAAGTATTTATAAGATGAAGGATCATCTTCGTCACACATATGCGGAATTAACCATTTTACAGTTTCTTCCCACTTATCATCGATTATAAGCTACAACTTTGAGAGTTCTTCAAAAATTACGTTATAAATACAAAAATCCAACCTTTATTTTTAATAAATAGGGTAGTTTGCGGTATGATGTGAGGTAATAAAGGCTTCTAACCCTTTTTATAGCATTTTCCAACATTCCAACTGATTTAACAGATTTCTCAGCTAATGTTGTAGCAGTTCGATTACATAAGGGACTACCACGCAATGCGAGACGAAATCGAGCTTGTGTATTTAGGATGCAGAATTCGACGTCCGCTTCTGGAATATGTGTGGACTCTTCATTTATCTTTTGAATTACAATGGTTAGTAAAATTTAACTTGTTTTTTCGAGATACTCCACAGCCGCTTTAGTGTTCTTATTTTGGTTGAGCATTGCGATGGCTTGAACAGTATTCTGGATTTTTTCATCTCGACGACCTTTGAGTGTCGCGAACAGACTTCTGGGAAAAAAATTTTTACTCTCGAAGCATATGCTTAATTGCATGTCTATCTGAATTATGTCTCATTCCTTTTCTTTTTTCGAAGAGTATAAAGTAAAATAAATGAAAAGTGCTACTTAAATTATAAACAGAATTTAACAAGTGACGAAAAATTACCCGAATCTGTCCTGAAGTCTTTCTTATTTACTTCGCTGAACCTCGTTTTCTTTCAAAATTCAATTCAGTTGTGGCTGCAAAATTTGGGTACACAAGGTTTGAAAGGGTAACTCACCCGAGCGAAAATGGAGCGACAAGGCGCATCAGCATTTTCAACTGTTTCGGTGTGTATACTTGTTAATCTCTCCTTTTAGTTCAGAAATTTCATGATCTAAAATGACGGCTAATGGAAATATTAATTCAGAGTAAAATAGATTGCAGTAGAACATTCAGACGAGAATGTTCAGCAGCGACCTTTCAATATCATTCGCAACTGCTCTGTGGCTCCTGGCATAAAACGGTCATTCTCTGACTTGAATGTAATACACCCAAACTCCAGCAATTATTTGACACTTAGTGCGTGACACATGGCGCTAACGACACTCACGCATGCAATGATTGCAATGGTCAGAATGCAGCAGGAATGATAAGAGTTGAAGAACGTTGTGCAACTATCATTCTACACAACACACTATTTCTCTTCACCGTCAATTTCTCATTCACGTCTTCGCATTATAAAGTCCCAGTCTCTATTGTATCTCTGATTTTATATATTCAAATAATAGCACTGGTTCGTGAGTTTTCATCTGCATAAAAGTATGAGGCGCTGAAGAGAGTTAGAGATTGGGAAGTGCGAATGATGGAGAAGTGAGGAGAGAGAGAGGGAGAGATAGAGGGGACTTTCGAGGATCAGTAATTATTGTACCCTTAGTTGTTTTGTCCAATTATTTTCCCGCTCTAAACCTATTCGACGTAGTCAATTTTTCTTTTCCCTGATCGTATTCTGATAATCAGATGGTATTTTTTAAATGCTATTTCCGGAAGCGATAATTATTAAACTGTAATTGCTGACTAGAAGTTATTTTACAGATGGTGATTGCATTTAGCATATGATAGAGTAGGAAGAAGTTATAAGCTCTTTTTAATCAACCAAAGGAAGCAGAGATGGAAAAGAGACTGAAATTCAATATTTCACCATTTGTTACCAATTTATTTCATGTGAAGTGGTGCTTAAGATCGATACACTCCAAATTTTTATTACTGATGATGATTCCACATCTATCCATCACTACCGATATGAATAACTGAAATGATCAGTGGAATTCTTCACATCAATATTTCAGTTAAACGTAACTTATCTGGCATTAAACTTTTTTGAGAAGTGGTAAAGAGCAATATCAAAACTGAAGTTTTCTTGAGGTGTCAGCTTGGAAATGATATCCTGCATTTGATATACCTAAGTTGATGCGCAGCTGGCGTACTGAAACGAAACGTATTGAAAAAAAAAAAAAGTGGCCTGGGGATTAATCCTTCTTGTTACTGGAAAGGTAATCAAACTTGTTGAAGTCATACATGTTCAATTTCGAAAATTCGAATTCGCAGCAGGTTAAAAGAAACTTTCGATATGCATTCATCCTCAGCTACACTCTTACGGATCATCTCCGACAGGAGTAGCAAGCTCTTTGGATCGTGTCTGTGTTTTTGTGATTCGCTCCTCCTTTAAGTAGTTGCATTTGCCCACTTCATCGATAAGCTTCTCTTAGGCACTTACTCCATCCACCTATCTGTCTGTCCATCCATCCCTACTTTTACTTCCACTTTGTCTATCTGAATGTAATCTGCTGAGTAGCAGTGATATATCACTAGCTAATTAAGCGTATGACATCACCTTAATCATCATCCTTATTTGGGTACAACTTTTCAATACATTTCCTTGACCATCTCTCGCTCTATTATGAAAATCTTTTTTTTCTTTGTTTTTCTGTTATAATGCGCTTTTGACGATTATTGTGAGTTATTGCAACTATCTTAGGAGATTATCAACATAAGCTGAGTATGGCATCCGATGGGGCTTATTATCATCAGATGTCGTCCTCATATGCCAACAGTGCATAACTGAAAGTTTGCATGCGTTCAGGTAAACACTTGTCAATTTTTTTTTCCTTGACATTAAATTTCTGCTTGCTAATAACAAGTTGCATATTGCTGTTTGACCATTCTGCGTTTATAATCACTGAACACCAGTGGACTGGATGAAGTACAAATTGTGGATAATTTCTAAGTGATTGATAATTCTTATAAATAAGTGTGTGAGTCAGAGTTGAGTTGTTACTTGGTATCCGAATTTCTACAAGTAATCATATTATCTAGTGATTATTCAATGGCTGGTTTGAAATGTTATCGGTGTCCAATAAAATAATCAGATTTTCTAATTTATGACGATGAAAATTAAAATGAATCACAGTTTTTTTTTAATACATTCTTGTTTCTTTTGCATCATAAGTAAAATTAATAGAATAATGTACACTATTGTATACAGGGCTCCTTGCATTTGAAAACATTCTCTTTAACAATAGAAGTATTGCATTCATTCTTATTTAATCGGATCTTATAAAACTTCCCTCTTCTTCCTCATTTCTCTTCCTTCATACGTTCGAAAACTTTTATAAATATCTCTCCTCGAAATATTTACCAAAAGGCTTTCTTCTAATCACGAATTTAGTTGATTATATATATATATATATATATATATATATATGGGAAATAGTAAAAATGCACATTCAAAGAAGAAAACTTCTTTGCCAGTTCATCTTCCAATTCCGTTGGGGAAATCTCACAGCCAGCTGCTCTGCTATCGCCACTACCGAATACTCATTACGAGCTTGTGAACAAAGCGATTTAAAGTGCCAAATAGTAAAATGTTTCCGGATGAAGTAATGGAGTCTAATCTCATTCCTTTTTTCCAAACCATGTGAAGGAATGTTGATATTAGATGGCAAAGTAACAGATGCTAACAGATCTTATGCTCATTTATAAATTTGAATATTAGTATCAAATAATCTCTCGAAGAACCGTTAAGTAATATCTGTTACAAATTTTATAAGTGAATAAGCCATATTAAATTGTATTTTCATAGTAATTGTAAAAAAAGCTGAAAACACAGTTTTTGGGGTTGGTATTGAAATGTTGTTAGGGACAAGTAATTTCCATCTAAAAATATCTGAAGATTTTTTAGGAATATTTTCCTCTTTAATAATTTTTCGTGAAATATTGCTTTCTTTTTGTGTAAAGATCGAAGTAAATTTTTATTCATTTTTTTTTTTTTTTTTAAAGACGATCGCTATTTATTCCTTGATGGTAGTGGTAGTTGTAGTAGCAATAGTAAGAGAAATAAAAATGATGAAGCGGTATTCTCCGAGCGAAAAGTTCAGAAAAAGTGTTATTATTAAGCGGGGAGAGGAGAGGGGAGGAAAATGTTATTAGTTGAAGTTGGCAATAAAGACTAATGCAAGCCAAGAAGTGTTTCCGTTTTGTGTGTGGTTGTGAATATTGTTGAAGAGATCTTTAGTTGGTCTCCTTAACTAGGTCCATCATCATCTGTTATGGGGCAGTTCATTCTTTTAAAAAAGAACTGATTCCCTCAAGCCTCATTAAGCACGTAAGTACATCATGTTCTGTATCTCATCATTACTTGTTTCACTTGAATGATGACTAACTTTTAATTTTATGTTGCTGTTCACATTATAACTGGGAAAATTTTTATCAGTGATATCAACATCAAGCATTTACCGTAACGAACATTTAATCTATTAATGCTTATTATTTTCGCTATTGTCATTGCCATCTGTCATTAAAATCGTCTTTGCACTATTTATTCAAATGATATCGAAGCCTTTAGGTATCTCTTATACGAATTTTTGATATAAACATCTGAACATTTTAAGGGCAAAACTTAAAAAATTCTGAAGAACATTTAGATTGATTCAAAAATTTGCTGTTTTTAAAAAAGTGATGTTTCGAAAATAAAGCGCTCTACTTAATTATAGTTGAGAGTCTAGGTTTTGATTTTCTCAGCTAGGAAAGAAAGTGTAAAAAAGTTATCGAAAAGTTTAAATGCTCAAATGACTGATACATTTTTTATGTTAGATTCTGAACAAATGATCACAGTGACGTATTTAAGTACAAAAGGAAAAAGTGACCGTTATTATTTTGAAAGCGATTCCAAATGAAATATGAAATAATACATATAGCGAAATGTTTATATAACTCTATGATGAGTATTCTTTAAGCTCATATTCATTTTCATGCTTGCTTTTCCTTGTAAGTGCTGTTTTATATTTCGTTATTTCCTTCTAGGTCATTTTGGAAATGAAGTCCAATTCCCTTTCAATGTTCCTTCCAAAAGTTCAGAAATCCGACAACACTAAATTGCAGAAGTCAAAGAGAAAATGATTGAGATTAAAAAATATCGATCACAGAATTATATAAATGTTCAACTAATACTATAAAATCCTAAACAGCTATTCAAAGTTGATGTAACCATAACCACTTAGTTTGCTTTTCTTTTGTCATTTTTGTCACAAAAGATGCAACATTTCATTAAGAAATTAGTTCGTCTCACACACTGACTTCATTTCATCAAAACTTTTAGCCAAAATCACTAAAATGCATTTCCTCCATTAAGATATGTTCATTTATGATCCATTCAGACTGACACAGTGATGCAGTAGATTAAAGAACTTAAAGATTTAATGTTAATTATTTATTTTGAAGCTGGAAAAAAAAGCAGAATATAAAAAGTGAGGGAGACAGGTTGACAAAATTTTCTCCAAAAAATTAAATTGAGATCTTACTACTTTTATAGTGAATTCTTTCTTCATATTTTACATATAAATTAGATAAAAATATCTGTACTTGCCATGAATTCTCCAAAATTTACGCTTAATGGTATACTCTAGGAGATGTATAATGATCTTTACTATTAGAAAGTTTGAAATAGTCAAAAAAAAAGTAGTGAAACTGTTTCAAAGATCAATCAAATTGTCGGTATCATTCGTTTTGGACAAAAGTCTGCATGAATTTATAAGAAAGTTAAATTAACAACTTCGGAAATAATAAGTATGAAAGAATTTCATATTTCGTTTTTTAAATCTATTTATTATCATTATATTATCATTAATTTATGTTGCAATATCACAACTACATTTCTATTAGTCATTTCGAATATCACTTGCGTTCAAAAATTGTTTGAAATTATGAGTTATATTCATTCGTTTTGAATTTAATTTCCATTTTTAATTTACTTGTAGACGAGTTAAATTATACTGAAAGGCTTTGAATTAGGGTATTAGTTAGAATGGAACACATATCTCCTTACTTTTCTCTATAATCAAATTTATCTTTCTTCTGTACACAGCAAATGAATTTTATAGTTTATAAAACCTAACTTTTTTAATTATGAGAAAATATAATTCAAGCAATGTCATTTGCAGAGCCAGTAATTTGGTTCATTGTACAAGCAACAACGTCTATAACAATTGTTGCCACAGCGCTTGGCTATTTTGATTTCAGGTATTTTGATTATTTCGGTTTATTTCAGCGTTAAATAACGAATTCATTACTTAACTTTCTAATTAAAGATTGAGGTGCTTGACTACATAATACGATAGTCCATGAACTTAAAAACTCAAAAAAAAAGAGCTTAAATTCAGCAGAAAATCTTCTATATTACAATAAATTGATTTCATATTATATTTTCGCATCATTTAAAATTTTATATATTCAAGATTTTCAGTTCATCTGGAAAGTACTGCTACAGTTGTATGTCGGAAGCATTTCAAAAGCACTGGTCATTTCTTAGTCAAGTAATTTGTCTTTATTTATGAAATTTTATACTTTTTCTTAATTTATAGATTAAAGCAATTTTTGGTTTGGAAAACGCTTTTCAGTGATTTACGTTTATATTTGATTATAATTTTATTATTATAAATTTTGACTCAATTTTCTTCAAATTTACTTTAACTTTCATATTTCGAAATCTTTCTATGTTAAGACAGCAAAATATTTATGTGTGTTTGCAGCGTTACGACTTTTCATTATCAGATTATTCCCAAAAACTTTATCCTCAAAAAACTATCAAATATTTCGATTGAGTGTATGCATTTTTGAATTTAATGCAGTTTGGAGAACAGAAATACCTCGCATCATAAGTTTTCAGTAGGACAGTTTCTACAGACTGTTTGAACTGGGTTAAACTAAAGTGAGAGTTTGAACTTAAAAATGTGTCGCTAACAACTGACAATTTTTTTAGAGATTAAATAATAAAAAACAGCGCTGATTTTACACACCTTTAATTTTATTTTCAAAAGCATTGTGACTTTGTCAACAAGTCATAACATTGCAACCAAATAATCTCTTGAATTAATTTAAAATTAGGAATAAAAAAAGTTCTCAAAATATATCCTGCAATAAGAATAGATGTGTTTAGCAATGAAACTGTATTTTTGGGTCGAGAAAACTGAATGCAAATTTAAAACGGCATCTATAGAAGTAAAGAGAAATGTTAGAGACGACTTAGTGTGTTGGTGAGGCGTTTTTTATGCTTCCATAATAAAGAAGTTTTCAGTGGGCAAAGGAGGAGACATATGTATTTAGATCAATTCATAAAGTGAGCAAATATGGACTTGAAAAGGAGATAAAGAGATCTGATTTATACGACTGAGCAGTGAGGTACTTTTGGACGTTCATCCAAAATATATAATGTTGATGTCTCTAGCATTAGGACACTAAATCAATTTAAGCCTAACACTAATGCTGCTAAATCCTATTGTCCCATCCTGTTCATATAAAAATCGCTGCTAAATATGCTTAAATTTAAAAAAAGAAAAAAAAAAATAAAGAAATTGTTGATTTGGGAAAAACCCATTTTCGTTTTTCTGGAAATTTCAAATTTCGCATTTTTCAAATATTGGTGGAAATAGGATTTTTTTTTTTCCATTTCACATGGTAATATAAAGGAGATTATAATATGATATACAACAAAAGGATTTTTTATAGTAACAATGCTTGGGAAAGCAAATTGCACCAAATGCTGCTGTGTGATTGGGGATAGAAGAAAGCCTATCGGTTCAGTTTTGCAAGTAATTGAGTGAAGTTTTTTGTACAGTTGTTTAAGGATTTGAAGACATACACATTTCTGATTGGAATAAATAGAACATCGGAATTATAGAATTTGGGTGCAAAGTTATCAAAAAAAGCTGGAAATAAAGAAGCTGTAACTTTTTTTTTTTTCTAAAATTATGTGGCTTAGTAGAAAAATAGCTGAAGAAATATTTTAGAAAATTTTGACTACTTTGTGAAATTTTATGCAGTTATAATTATAAGCAAATGTACACGGAGAAATGTATACTCACACTTACGATGATATATAGGTTAAGTTAGCGATCATATAATTTTTTTTAATCGTTATCTTGGTTTGCACCAAAATATTAAAATTAATCACTTAATTTTGGCAATACGAAAATCTCCCAAAAATTCTCCAGCTGTATGTTATTACTTACTGAAAGGGAATCAGCTGAAGATTAAAGGCATTGGTGTTTGAACCCTTCCAGTAAGCCAAACAAGTACTGCCATGTGACAGCAGCATTTATGATCAGACGATCTTAATCATTAACTGTATGAAAACATTACAACTGCAGCTGAAAAGTAAAAAGAAATTTAAGTGTATTGAAGATAAGAAGTACTATTGCAAATAAAAAAGAATTCTTTCGTAAAAATGTAAATTTAGTGGGTTTTAATTTCTAGATTTACTTTATGCCGATGAATTTTACCGATTACTGCTACGATATGCCACCCAAAGTACATATAGGTGTCACAACATGCAGTCATTCCCTATGTGTTACTGTCATCGAACCTCGTATTTTGGCAGGTTTGTTTTTTGTTTGTATGATAGAAATTTTGAATCATCCATTTTTGAAATATTGCTTTGGAATTCATCAAAAAGAATGCGTTTATCAATGACAGATATGTTTAGTCATATTGTATTTGAGAAATTTCAGGGCATCACATTGGAAACAATGTTATCCGTGGATGCTTTTCTTCTGTGTTTAAATACGGCCCCACGCCATCCAATGATGGCTTTTCTACTTCAGGTAATTTTTTGCCTGTTCGCAAGTTGAAGTCTTTTCTTATTTTTAATTTATGCAAATGAGCTTGACCTTGATTTTTGAGCTGTAAAATTTTTTTTTTGAGCTGTAAATTTTTTTTGATTAAGTTTTGAGGAATCATGACTGTTTCGCCACTGTGAAGTATTTTAAATTCACTTTATTTATTCTGAATTGGTGTAATATACTTCTTAAAGAAAAATATCCTCTTATAGCCAAGAGAATCATCTTTTTATTGCTTTGTATTAGGGTGAATTCATTTTTTATGAGAGGAAATTTCTCAGTATTTCCTTGCAGAAGAAACTAACCGATGCACTTTATTAAATTTAGAGTAAAAGAAAAATTTTTCTTTCTTACTTCTTATTCAGTTCTTTGATTATTGTAGATACCTCGTGTAGTAGGATGCCTGCATATAAACTATTGCCGCCACACTTAGCAAGACGCGCTTCAAATCGCACTGTTGAATTGTGCTGGTGTTTTGGGCAGTTGTGCAATGACTATCCGTCAGCTGAATCTGCTGGATTCAGGAAACAGCTACCGTTGTCTTCATCCGTTTTTGTCTTAGCATTTTTGGTACAGATTTTTTACTGGAAATTGTTGATATGACAAATTTGTTTACTGGCAGTGTTGAATGAAAAAATTTGTAGATTTCACCAGTTCAAATGATAAATGTTTGTTTCAAAGAATTAGAGTAAATCAGTCTATCAGATTCATCGTTGGTCAGACCAAATCATTTAATATAGCCGATTTCTTAATTATTTTTAAATTTTTGTTTGAAAATCTGAAGTATTTTTTCATTTTATGTACTGCCTTATACGTTTCACAAAAGAAAACGGAAAAAGCAAAAACGCAAATTATGCAATTAATATCTCCCCTACATCGTTTTCGTCATCGTATGATCTTGTCCAAGTCAAGAATTAAGTACCTTTTTCTTGAGTTGCATGCAACTTCTATTCCTTAGTTAAAGATAATTTTATTACTAAGAACAAGCGAGCTCATCGAATTTCTTGAATAGAATATTTTTTGTTTATATTTAGGATATGTAAAATCGATGCATTTATTAGTGCCTTTCCCTTTGTGGATTTTAATTTAAAAGGAGGAATTTCAAAGTACTTTAGCTAATTAAACATTTGTATTTGTTCTACAAAAGATGCAATAGTTTCTGCTGTTATAAAATTGAATGAATCTGCGGTTTTTGCATTTGCATTGTATCTTTTAGGCAATTCGAGTAATTTTCTTCCGATAAACACGTAAAAGAGCGAAATTGCTTTCATATAAATTGCAGGTCTATTAATTTAAATCTAAGAAATTTAGTATCAGAAAGAATATGCCAGATTTTAAACAGTAAATTTAATTGATAACGATTTCGAAAAAATGTTCGAAAATAAAAACTGCTATACTTAAAAAAAATCCTTATTATACTTTACTTGAATTTGAAGGTCGCTTTACTTGAAATACCAGGTCATGTATTAGAAGTTTACACGAAACACCAATACCTCTTCAATTATTCAATAAATGATAATGAAATATTTAGCAGAACTATTTGAACTGCTAAAGTAAAAACGCTGAGCACACGATATAGTGAAGACAAGCAAAGCATTGCTGTAAAGTTTAATAAAAATCTATAAAGATAAGTTCCACTTAAATGTCTTACTTCGTTCTACTTAGAAGTTAGAATAGGATTAACAGTCAATTTTTTTTATTCTATCGAAAAGTTTTCAATCTTATTTTAGTAGTGGCGTCTTTCTATCTGGGTACAGGAATGTTTAACTGTCACTATTTTCTTACTGATAAGTCTATCTGTATAGGTCAGCAACAAACTTATGGCAATTGGTAACTAGAAAAATGGGGAAATAAGGATGAGTACCTCGGGATTAGATTTTTGCTAAATCTTGTATATTTGAGCATATTGAGGTGGAATTTGACAAGAGAGCTCAGAAAATTTTTAATTAACTAAGAATAAAAAAGCGTAATTTAACTTTCAAATGTTAATTTTTGTTCTAAGCTGACAGGCATTATTTAGATTTACTCAACTAAAAGAACAATGTGCAATCTCTAACAATATTGCAGTGTAAAGATTTCAGTGGTATCTATTTCAAAGTATAATTTATTCTACAAATTACGTCTGAGTTTTCAGCAATGATGAGAGTCATCAAAGAGAACAATAAAGTATAGAAAAACAACAGTGAAGAAAATGATAACTAGAATAAAGAAATTAGCAAAGAGTTGGAGAACTGATAGAAATAAATTTTGAATTTAAATTGGAACCATTTTGTTTCCAGATCATAATGAAATTTCCTTGACTTTTTTTGGTAAAACAATGAATGTAAATTGATTAGTTCCTAAGATAAATGAATTCCAGATCGGTCGTCGAAGACGAGTGTTCAGATTTCTCATGCTACAACGGGTCTTTAAATTTATATTGGCTTCTCTATGACTTTATTTTCTTTCCGCAAAAATAAGTAAAAGGATGATTTATATTTTAAGTAACAAAATTTCTTCATGCCATTAAATCATCACTAGTTTGTGGAGCTAAACAACAAAATTTCAAAATCTTGATTTGATCTGGTGACAAGTGCTAATATTATAAAAGATGGATCTATATATGATTAGTATATCACAGATGTCAACAATAATTTTCTTCGTTGCTTATGTTTCTTATTATCCTTCCTTCTTGTTCTACTCATTTAATTAGTTTTTTTTTTTATCCCTCAAATAGTTTCATTGAATAAGACTAGCAATATTTTCACGATTACCAATATCGAGAACAATATAATCGTCATTTATATTATTTCTTTAAATGATAAGCATTATCTTCATCACTGCATCATAGCAAAACAAGATATTCTATTTAAAGAAAAACACATAATAAATGAAGAATATTTTACGTTTCAATGCGTTTTCAAACGCTTGGATATGTCAGACAAATGAAAAATTGGACAGTCTTAACAAGAATAGTTAGAAGTCAATTAATTAGAAGAACTGAAGAAATCCAAATAACTTTGCTAGAAACTTATCACATGAGTTTATGTTTTCTTGGACGAACTTAAAGTGTGTTTATATATCTTTGAGAATTGGAAATCTGATTTCTCTTCGATGAAATTGTGGTAAATTGTTAAACAGAACTGTTAAACATTACGGAAAAGCAATATTATTCATACTTTAGGGGAAAATAATGCAAGGGAGCGAGAACACTAATTATTTGAAAAACCGTGAAGTGTGTACTTTCCTGAAACTTCTAATGCTTAAACTAACTTTCTAGACTTAGAATTGGTCGGTAATAAGCAAAAATTTTAAATGCAAAAGTTAACTAATCATAAAGTGTATATTACATTAATAATTCAATCTTTATATGCATAACTGACCATAATGTGGAATAAATGGTATGAGAGATAAAGTGTTTATATTGTTTTTAATATTAATATTTATTATTGAAGTCGCTTTAGAAAGAATTCGAGATGAGGTAAACTGGATGACTTAACAGGATCGAAAGCCTGATTTCTTTTACTAACTTGAAGTTTGCGGTACATCTGTAATGATGAAAAATTTGCAGAAAGAGAATGAATCGTTCGCCATTAATATAATATTATATCAAAATAATGAGTAAATTAGGTTGTTTAAAATATTACTTTATAACTACATTTTGTCGGATAAAAAAAGACGTGAATTTTTTTCTAAAATTTTTTCGACAAATAAAAGAAATTATTTGACGGAGAAAATCATTCAGTATATGCAATTAGAAGCACAACATTAAAGGTCGATTGATTACTTTTTAAGTAATCTTAGAAGTCTAGCGTTTCCTAGTTTCCTTAGTTTAGCGCTTTTTTTTAGTTCTCAGTTTTTCATTTTCTTTTTTCCTAATCAATATTATTAATGAGAAGAGAATTTTCTTTTTCCTTTTCATACTGCATTGCAAAATATATGGCTTACTCTGGTTACAACTAATAACAATCGTTATTTTGAATTTTGCATCAACTCCTTATGTTAAAATTGTTAAATCTTTATTTATAAGTGAATAAACAAAAGAAAATAAATTTTCCATCCTGGTAACACCAACTGAAAATTTTTGACATAGTTACTGAACAAGCAGTCTGAAAATGAGAAAGTTTAAAAGTGATAATGGATTAACAGAAATTAATTAAAAATTAATTATAGTTTACATATTGCATCTTTCACCTTTTGTGAGACATTTTCTCAAACTGATATAAATATTTGATTCTCAGCTTGCTGTTCATTAATTTACCCAAATATTTATTGAAATCTGCCATAATCTAGCAGATAAAACTTTTTAAATAAAATTAACTGAAATTATAATGGATAAAAACATCCTGACGTAGATTTGGTATACATTGTTTTGCTCAAATGAATTAATCATACAAACGACTTACAACAGAGTGAGTTAATCACAATTATACAAATAGCATTTCGACTATCAAATCATCAAATTAACCAATAAGATAAAATGATAAGCAATTCTTACTACCTCACTATTTAATTGATACGTAAGTTTATCTAAAATATAATGGAGTTTTCATATTACTGTGGGAAGAAATAAGAAATAAACGTGACGAGTTAAAATTCTGCACCATCAAGACAAAGTGGCTGCAGTATTGGAAAAACTGCAATAGTCGCAGCTTGTTAATATTCAGACCTTAATTTCTAGAACGTTGATATCTTTCATAACGGACATCGTTTGGATGATATGGTCCCATACGAAACTCTCCATTCCATTTAAATAAAGTGCGTGTGTACCTAAATTAATTTTATCTTCCAAAAACATTGTTATTAAAAGTATTATATATTAATCAAGCATTTGACTCCCTGTTCAGATCGTACTAATCTTAGAACAACATCTCTTTGAGTTAAATTATCAAACAGAGGGTTCATTATCACTACATTTCGTCTGTATCATATTCATCCCAGAATACAACATCGCGACCATTTGTTTCTTCAACTCATTCCAATTTTCATTTTAAAATGCTTTCTGGATTTGGCTTTAGAGAAGTACTTCAATTTCTTTTCATAGAAAATGAATTCAAGAATTAGCCTCTGAAAGAAATATGAATGTTTAAAACTAATTATTTATTCGAAACTGTATATACTTACCAATCAGGCCATTCATGCGGTGCGTATCGTCCAACCGTACCGGTCATAATCCTTGTTCTTGGATGAGGTCTTGCATATTGCTTCAATGACTCATCATAAACGTATGTTTGTCGTTTTGAACGGGACACTGTACTTGGTATTGCACCGATGAAGCACATGTTACCTAAAACACAATACGAAGTGTAACATACAAAGATAACGTGCTTCCTTACTGGTAAGTGTATACAACAAGTGTCAACTTAATTGCAAATCCGAATAAAATTTTGAACTAGAAGATCAACAGGACCAGTTTTCTGTTCATCAACAGCAGAATAAGTCAGGATTGCAATAATCTCTTATTAACGTGAGTGAGTTTGTATGTTGTATGATGCATCTAGGCGTTTATGATTACGTATACATGCATCTATGTATACACGAATGTAGGTATGCATGTACGTACGTATATATTTGTATGGGACAATTGCACTGATGAAACAATGCTGAATTGATTTATGTTTTTGGATCATATTGGATGAAAAGTCATACCATTGTTTTCATTATTTGGGACGTAGTTTCTTCTGCGAATCAGTTGTTCACTAGTGAAAGGAATTCAAATACTTTGTCGTTATAATTGATAACATAGATAAAACAACATTCTGATTTATAAATTTCTCAAATTTTACCTTTTTTGAAATATGAAAAATTGAGAAGTTTTTCCAAAAAACAATTATTAATCGTCAAGTGTGAATAACAAACTGTTATTTATGATCCACGAATTCATAATTTAAAACTATCTCAATGTTACAAGAAAATTTTTGACGGTGAAGCAGTAAATGGTTCAGTTATGTTGTATCAGCCTTATCTAAAGCATTTAAATTTTAGGAAATTTTCTTAAGGAAGTAAAATTGCTTAAAAACATATCAATCAAAAAAGCTTCTAAGCAAATTTTGACTAGTAGCTATCATGAATTAAAATTTTTGAATTAAACAGGATTGAGCAGCAGTATCGTTGTGAAGTAGCAAACATATTGCGACAAAAAGAATTTTTGCTCAGTAGAAAAAACGAATTCGAAAGTTGTTAAATAGATCTCGGTAAATAAATATGAAGTTTAACATTGAGGTATACACTAAAATACTAACATTATGCGAATAAAACTTCGGTTTTCAGCTGTTAAGTAAAACATCAAATAAAATGAACTCGTCATGAAAAGATGTTAATTAAAATGTTTAAGTATGCATTTAGAAAGCGCTCATTTATTTAGTTGTTTTGGAATAATTACCTTTATCAAATTCATTTATAATTGGAACGTGTTTGAGTAATTGCCGATTCATTTAAAGATCATAAAACTTTTATCTGGTGTGTGTGTGTTTTTTTTTTTTTTTTTTGAAGTAAATCCATCGGCATTTCTTAATAAAAAAAAAACACATACCTAAAATAAGAAGCAGCATGGTAGTGTGCAGTTGGTTCGAAGGCATGTCTATCGACGATCTGTTGGTGTCCGTAGGTAAGGGTTTTGGGTGGGTTATCTCCCTTCTCACAATTCAATTCTTTTCCGGTTAGTAGTAGTAGTTTCTGTGTCAAAGTCAGTTTGCTACCCTTTCAACGCCCTTTTTTATTTTTCTTTAGGGTTATATGAATGGCATGTACATACATACCACTGCTTCTGACGTGTGCGATCGCTGGATAATGGACGAATAAGGAAGCAAATGGGCAGGTAAATGAGCAAGTAGTAAACGAGCAAATAAATTTCACATTAAATTGTGGAAAAGACTGAACCTTGTACATCTAATTCGAATCTCTTTGAAAGGAGAAACTGATCTTTTTGTATAATGATGATTAAGCTGATCGTCAACATTTAAGATAATTTATTTGTTCATTTATTAAGGAACAAGATACGGAAGAATTTATATTCTGCGAAATTTTATAAGTTTTCCAAATTATATGAACTTATCCAAGTAAAAGAATATTGAACGCAATGCATATTAAGAGTGGTGAGATATTTTAAATTTCAATGCATGCAAAGGAAGTGTTTTTTATTTTGACACGAATATTGCTGCGAATTTGTTCGACTTAGTGAGATGAAAGTAGTCTACAATTTTCAACATTATCTCTGCAATTTCGGTTACTGTGTGAGGAATTATTTCAAACACGATAAAAGAAATTAGCCGATAAAATCAATTAATTAAAATTGGCAATTTCCTGGAATTTTTAATTAATGAGCAAAGTTGCGTCTTTTTTTCTTTAATTAATCCAATGGATAGTCTTCTAAAATTAATGGGTACCAGACAAAGATGGCTTTGTGTTTTGAGAAATGTCTGGATTAATGGTTCTATTCGTCTTTGTTATCCCTCAGAAAAAAAAAAAAACTGGATCCCTATGGTTATATAGGTTATGTGAGCCAGCGACTCGTGTCATTTTTTTTTTTAACTTTTTAATTAATAAATCCTTCGAATTCTTTTTAATTAATAAATTCATATGTGTTGGCCGATAAATTCAATTAATCATTAATTTTAGAAGGCTACCCATTTTGGATCAATTAAAGAAAAAAAGACGCAGCTCATCAATTAAAAATCCCAGGAAATTGCCGATTTTAATTGAATTTATCGGCTAGCACACGTGATTGGATTTTTAGATACAATTTTGTAGAAATTTATCTTTAACTGAGATGATAATAATTTTCCAATATGTACAAAGCGGATCCATTAGAAGTGGATCAAAAAGAGAATCAAATAGAAAATTCAAAATCTAAAAATTAAAATGTAGTCTGAAGACAACGGTTGAGATCAATACCATCAAGTGTGGAAATTTAAAAAACTTATTAAAAATTTATTTTCAATAGCGTTGGGAGGTGTTTCGGTTGAGAAAGTGTTTCAACGAAAGAGGCAAAATATTCATCAGAACCAAAACACAAAGGACGAACAACGAAGGGGGAATGGAGTAATTTGATTATGGAAAAAAGTAGAATTCTTTTTTGAAGCTGGCATTTTAGTCCTCTTTTTGCTTTTCTTGAACTGATGGGTGAATTTTCTTCCTTAATGTGCGCCACTCAACCCAAAAGTGCAATGATTTATGCAAATGATACTATCCCTCCGCAGAAATGTTGCCATTTTGGAGCACTTCTTTATCTGACAAAGCTTTTTTTACAGCAGCGATGTTTGGCGTACCAGTTACAGTGAACGTTGAAAGACGCAACAGCTCATCTGTAGCTTTACAGCACAAATTCTCCTGATTCCAATCTCTCATGCGCAAATTATATTAGCCTGTCGGTCTGCGTACTTTTTTTATTGTTCATTTATCTGTATATTTTAATTTGATCAAACATTGAATGACTTTTTCAACTCAAAATTTGTTCAATATTATCAAAAATCATAAATTTTTCAAGTCATTCAATCACTGAAGGATTAGAACGATTACTTTGTGTTGTAGATATCTTTTTCCTGGCATCCATCTTTCTTCATTAATTAATTACCAAATTTGGCTGCTTTTTTAATGAAAATATTAAGTAAACCTTTACTAACATGTTTCACTTTTGTTCGCTACCAGTTTATAAATTCAAAGCAAGCAAAAACTTTAACAACAATAATAACTTATAAGTAGGAAAGTTTGAGCTTGGATGATATTTGTTGCCATGTAAGAAAGCTTAAGTTTCCCCGTTTTAAAAGTAATTACACTCCATTTATTTCGTCAAGTATGCTATCAGCTATGTTTGCAACTTTCAGAAGTTCTTTATGTCTTTTATTTCTTTTTCCAGAATTATCGTAATTCAACTACTGAAAGATTCAGATGAAAAGATTCAACAAGTTCACTTGTCTTTTTGCCATTTGCGCTTTTGAGCTTACAGTACTGATACATTGTAACTGGACTCGGTGTTCTTATTTAGTAGATACCGCTATAGTAGACTGTTCTGGACTGAATCTTGACGTAAGTCTTCTTTGCACTTTTCCCTTCATAAATAGCTTATTGTATTATTATAAAAAATGAGAAATGAAAAGAATGAGAAGAAAATAGTTAAATTTGAATTATAAAAGTTCTTTAACACAAATATTTTGTCTGATTGTTCCAGAAAATTGCGCAAACTGCACAACTGAAAGCACCTACCTCCGAATTTTATCCAAGCACTATTGGAGGTCAGGTATACTTGTTGAATTTGAGTGGGAACGCTTTCAGATCAATCAATTCCAGTTCTTTTTCATCATTAAGACATCCAGAAACCCTTGAAATATTGTAAGTTTCAAATTGTTTGAATCTTCATTTGCATGGAAAAACTTTTAAATAATTCCTTTATTTTTAAATACCACAAGAAAAATCACTTTTTCAGGGATATATCTCACAATGCAGTCATGTTCATATCTCCTGGTGCCTTCAAAACTTTATCAAATCTTAAAATTCTGTGAGTGCTACGAAGTACCTACCAAACTGCGTTTTCTATTTTTTATAATTATATTATATTCCTGAATGTCTTGTATTTCGAGTTATGATTAGGATAAGTTATGATTAAAACTTAAACCCATAGGAAATTGTCAGGTCATTATTAACCTCAAAGGAATTATTTCATTAATTCCAGTATTAGTTATCATAAATTAACTTATCATCGGAAAAAAGGTCTAAAGTCTCTTATATAATAATAATAAGTTAATTTTTCTTCAGCTTACTGAATGACAACCAATTACATGCACTTGATCGCCTATCATTTGTTGAGTTGGAATCCTTAGAGGAGCTGGATTTGGATTCAAATCCGCTCTCTTCGTTTCCGGATGGGACTTTTGCATCGCTTAGCAAACTTCGTAAAATAAGTATTATGTCGAATCAACTATCATGTGACTGTCAAATAGTCGACTTGCTTCGCTTGATTAAGGTTGAGCAAAAAATCTCTTCTCTCATCCGCTTTATTTCAGACCTAATTTAAAGAAAATTGCATATGACGCTAAAGTTTGTGAAACGATTTCTTTAAATTCCAATGAACATTTGCGACAGTAAATACTGTTTAATTTCAGGATCATCAAGTGCAAGTTTCAAATCGGACGGTGTGCATATTTCCTCACTCATTGCGCGGAATGCAAGTTGCAGGGTTGAATGCGAAAGCATTAAAAAGAAGTTGTGGGAAAGGTAGATTTGTGACCAAAACATTTTAAAATTAAAGAGCGGAAAAAACTCTATCCTGTAATAAAAAGTTTTAGGCAACTTTAATCCAGCTGTGTTCGATTTGGAGCCTACTACACGATCAATAGTCGTGTATCCGGGTGATGAAAAGAACATCACATGCAAAGTATCTAAAGCTAACGACGTGCGGATGGAATGGCTGAAAAATAACGTTCCCTTGGTTGATTCTTCACGTTTATTCACCATGCATTATAATGATAGTGAATTTCTGTATGTAACTTTATAGTATATATGCGAAAAATTCGTGCGATAGAGTGAAATATTATATAGAAAATTAGAAATATTTTCAATTTGCCAGACCATCCGCCTATTCTTCCTTTGATTACTTTAAACTTTCTCTTCTAGTTCCAACATCATTTTAGAAATAATTGACATGCATATCGGTAGTTATTACAAAAAATTCTTTATCCTTAAATTAGAAAGCCTAAAAAATAGCTGCAACAAAGTACAAAAATTCGACTATTCTGATGGAGTGGGAGAGAAGTATTTTAGAAACTGAATCCTCTCTTCAAACTGAGATTGTTTATGAAAGTTTTTCAAAATGCATCATTTTATTTGACATGCATTAAAAGTGCAGAAATTCCATTTATTAAAATTTTTTCCTTCAAAACTAATTGGTTCTAAAATTTCAGATATCTGAAACTCTGTTTGAATCCGGTAACATGGGAAGACGAAGGTGATTGGACCTGCTACGTGGAACAGGATCGATCGGCGTTAAGAAATACAGTACGTATGACACCAGTGTTAGTTAACACTGTTCACTGTGTACAGGTATTTTTCCAGTTATGAGTAGTTGAAAATACAATTTTCGAGACTTTAGATTTTTAAACATTAAAGTTTTCAGGAATGGCAAGCAGATGAAAAAGGCGAAATAATTTGGGCAGTTTCTAAGCAAGGATTAGTTACGGCAAAATGTCCCAACGGTCCGACAAATGCGAAAGCATATCGGCGATGTAAGCACGGTAAATGGGAAACACCAGACACAAGTCGATGTGCCTACACTTCTCCGCTAATTAAATATTTCCTAACTTTATTACAACATAAACGAACGTCTCAGGTACGTATAGTTTCTGTCTACCTTATAATTTTTGAGTAATAATGATGAGAAAATACTTGAAGGATGTTGTTGCAAAGAATGAAATTTGAACAAGCAACCAAAAATGTCTTCGTTAAGGCTTTAATGAATTATCTACTTTGCCTTGTCAAAGATCTAAACATTCTACAGAAGAATGCACAATCTTTATGTTTTCCAGTATATGGACGAATTACTTCGAATAACGAGGCGGCCATTCGAAATGTCCGCCTATGAAACTCG